TGGCAAGGCGCGCAGATGCGCAGCCAGCCCAACCACATTCGAGTCTCGGCTCGCACGCATGGTGCTTAAGGTTGCCTCTTCCATTAAAAAATGCCGCCAAGGACTAGTCCTGGCTGGTCCCTTTATCTTTAAAGCTGCCCCTTTTCATAACAAACTCGGCTTTGCATTCTTGACAAGATTGACCTTGCATCACAGTTTGCATGTTTCATACGGAAATAATTTGTGGCATTAATTGTGCTAAAACATGCTGCCAATACAATTGGAAGAAATGTACTAAGACATGTTAACAGACCCTTGCCAAATAAAACAAAAAAACCTTATCTTGTTCAGTGCTTCCAAATTTTGAGCTATAAAACCTGTCAAGCTTTGATTCTAAAGCAAAGCAATCCATATTCATGTGCTTATGCAGGAGAGCTAGAGGAAACCATGGCGGAGCTTGAGGAAAGCCGACGGAAGTTGGTTATTCTCCAGTTGCAAAGGCATGGAAGTTCGCTAATGAACATGTCTGGTCCAAACGCCGTGAATGGTGCTGTTTCGGCTGATAAATCTTCAGATGAAAACATGGGCTGGGGAGATCTTAAAGATGCTGTTGACGAAGCTAAGGTACTTTTAACCAGACCGAATTCCATTGCATATATGCTTTTTATATGCCTTATCTGCTCAGCATTCATCTTATAGTATATTTTTTCCAATGGAGGGCAGACCCTTGCAGGAAACCGCCTGCTTGAACTCCATGAGACTCAAGAGGATAATCTAATACTGTCTAACCAGTTAGAAAATCTGCAGGTTGGCACCTTCTTTGTAATGGATGGCTGACATATTTGTTGTACTTTCAAGTTGTATCCTGGGTCTTCTTATTCCTATAATTTGCATTCTGGTGCTATGTGTGCAGGCTCAATTAAAAGATGATAACTATATTTTCACATCAAAACCATATACGATTCTTAGCGATCAGTTACATCATCTGAATGCTGAGATAGAACGATACAAGGGTTTGGTTGAAGTATTACAGGTAATATGCTTTTCCTCTGTTGTGCTGTTGTTTTGCAAGGTATTTTCTCTTGACCAGCTTTTCCTTTCTTTGACTTTAGAATGATAAGAACCAGTTCTTGCAAAGGGAGAAAGAAATGTATGCAAAAGGAGAATCCGTCGACAATATTAAACAATCCATTACCGCTTATGAGGCCAAAATCGAAGAACTGGAACATCAGATTCTGAAATCCATGGCTGAGAAGAATGATCTTGAGATCAAAGTTGAGGAATCATTGCAAGATTCAGGTATTGAGGCCTGACTTAGTGGCTTGCTAAATCGAGATCTGGGTTTACCTCCTTCTGCAGTGTAATATATACTTTGTTCTCAATTCCACCACTGTCTAGGTAAAAAAGACTTCAAGGATGAGATTCATGTCATGGCTGCAGCACTCTCTAAAGAGATGGAAATGATGGAGAATCAATTGAATAGATCAAAGGATGCGGCTTCTGAAGCACTTGCATTACGTGAAGAAGCTGAATAGTTTAGAACCTTGTTAGCTAAGAAGGTATGTCATTGATCTGGATCTATTGATGTTTCCAAACTGGATCTCAGTCTGCATCTGTTGCCATGTCTGTGAATGTCACTGAAACTTAACATGTTTGTACTTGGTAGTGAGATTGCCACAGTGTGTAATGAAAAATAAATCATTTATGTTTCTTCATCGTGATTCCTGTACACATTTACTCACTTTGCATTGATTTTATCTGATAGGATATTTTCTGCATTCATATATCTGACATATAGATTAAGTACAAAGAGCAAGCACCACATACCTGAACTAGTCCGTTCTTACCGTGTCATGAACTGAGTTGAACAAGGGGTTGGAAATGGAATAAGATGGATTAAGGTAGAACGACATTAGATTGAAGGGGTAACTAGTTGGGGTAGTAACACTAGAATAGTTGGTCAAGGGAAGTTTGTTTACTGATCGCCTTCTACAAAGAAGCAGAGTCATCACTTAAATAGTCGACTGCTATCACATAACCAACTCAATTTAAACCAACCGAATCTAGAATGTAGCTTGTTCTAACAGATGCACATATGTGACTTTTTTGAGAAGTTTTCCAGATGCACAAGTATCTAAAACCTAGCTCAAGCAACCACCTCTGTATGTATGCTTACTTTTCCCTATATAATATGCATAAGTGTTTATGTTTGTCATTCAAAATATATTTGTCATAAAATTTATTGTATGTCATTTTCTTGAATATTTTATCTCTAAAGTATACAAAAAGTAATAGTTAATTAGGTGTATCAGAGACTGTCTGATCTCCAAAATGACAAGTGAAGAGAAGGTTATATTATCTTCAGGTTATCTCTGCTTTATTAAAGCTGGGTGATTATGTACAAAAACAGGATTAACTCAATACTCTAGGGTATACTCATGTGTACTTTGATGCTGTTATATGCTTGCATTGTTACATGTTTTTAGGATCATTATTAGATCTTCAAACAATATTATTCACAAACTATTTCCGTAGAGTTTATCTTCTGAACTATACCTGAGAAATTCTGAATAGACCTCCAGCGTAATCGAAACATATGATGGAAGTATCTCCAATTTTCAGATCAGTGAACAGAAGGAAATATCTGATAGATACAACACACAAGTCTCCGAGATCAAGTCCCTCAAAGAATTGGTATGGTATCATGAAAATCTCTCGTCTTCTAATTGTGCTGACAGCCTGAGATATATTTGTGTTCTCTGAAAGTGTTTGCGTTTCCCTTCACCATGGTTCTCTCAGCTCAGAGAAATTTTCGAGTTATTACACAAGCAATTATATCTGATTTGTTATTACTTATTAGCGTAGACTCACCCAATAACTGGCCAAAGAAGCAACTTGGAGAGCAAGTAGCTTGGGCCTTAAGCCAATTATATATAAGGAAATATAAAATTAGTAACGTTAGGGTGAGATGTGATCAAATAAGGTTACATCCATCAAGATTACTCCTTGCTATCTCTATGTCCGTTAGGGTACATGCTACCTGTGAAGATTTAGTCCTTGCTCTCTATAACAAAGTCATTCTTTAAGAAGAGATAGCATGCACCATTAGGTTACTCCTACTTGTCATTAAATAAGGTTAGATCTGTCAAGATTAGTCCGTGCTTGATACCTGGTTTCTGAAAATATATTATGGATTAACAGTTAGTTCTTAGTCTTTCAAGCATTGGTGTATATTCAGCTTTTGCAACTAGCTACCTGAAATTGTTGTTATTTTCTAACTGTGGGCAAACAAATATCTTGTAGTGAATATGTAAGTAACAGTATGGGCCCTTAAATTTTAAAGAATTATGGGCAAACAAACTCTGGTAGTGAATATGCAACTAAGAGAGGTTACATATATGAGCCTAAATGTAAAAATCTTCCATTTTCTGAAGAAAAACAAGGAAGTATTGCCCTTCGATGGTCCGAAGCCAAGCTCTTGCAACTTTGCACCGTGTCAGGATTGCCATTCATGGTTTCTGAATGAAATTTCAACAGATTGGGACGTTGCAAAAGGAAAATCAGGAGTTAGAATTTATTGTGGATATGTATGGGAAAGAATGTTCTGAGTCGAGGTATGACTTGATTGTTATCGTTATCACTTATCAGTTGTGTTGATTTTTGATGATTGTGACTTGTGCTATTCTCTTAGATGATCTCATAGTCCTCCGCCAGATTCTTGAAATTCTCTGTTAGAAACTGTTTTCTACTTACTTGGGATTTACAGTTTACCACACCTTGGGAACAAGAGATAAAGTTGACACATCCCTTTATGATTCTTAAAGTTCGATCATTCAATGCATTTTTTCTTCTAAATAAACATGTTCTGCTGCATGCCTGAAAGAAGTCCATCTTTACTCTAATCCTCAATTTCAGCTATATACTATACATATGAAAATTTGCAGTCAGTTAAATCTATCAAGTTGTTAAAACATGTGATTGTTAAGCTTCATGCAGCCAATGCAACTAAAAGTCTGAACTGATGGAAAGGGCTAGGCAATCTGCATACACACTTCAACACCCCCTCTCACGTGTGACACGGGAAGTCAACACATGAATAGACTGAGAGGTATGGCTCAAGAGGCCTATACATGGACACAGAGGGAGACTATACATGGACTTGAACTCGAGACCTTAGGCTCCGATACCATGTTAAGCTTCATGCACTAGCCAACGCAACCAAAAGTCCAAAATGATGGAAAAGGCTTGGCAATCCAGTTTTAATTTGGATGCAATCTGCTAACACTAGCTGACATAGGTTATGTGGCATTTGTAAATGCCGAAAGAAAAATATACTACTTTAGATTTCTGAAAATAAAGTGTTCAAAACGGCAAGGAATAAAAATCATATAAGCTAAGAACTCAACAAATGAAAAAAAACATAGGTTGGTTACTTCTACGCTTTCCTCCATTACCAAATACCCATTGATTTCCCCTTTTAAAACGATCCATAGAATGATAGTCAATTCACGGCTTTCATCAATTTTACATACTAATATAATTTTCTTCATTCGTTAGATTCTTATTTTACACTACTGCTAGGACAATTACAGAGATCAAGGAATCAGAAAATCGAGCTCGCAAGCAGGCTGAATATTTGAGAACTAGTCTAGAGGAGCATAGTCTTGAGCTTCGTGTAAAAGCAGCAAATGAAGCCGAAACTGCATGCCAGCGAAGGCTTTGCATTGCTGAAGCAGAACTGGAAGAGTTAAGGACCGATGTAGATGCATCTGAAAGGTCAGTTATCTTCTCCTAGTGACAATTCGATGTGTGTTCTCAAGTTTACTGGGACTGAAATAGTTCTCCAGTTTACTTGGATTGCTATTTCAAACGAGTTTTCCGTCGAGGGGACCAGGATGTTAATTATTGCAGTTGTTTCATCCTGGTTGCTGCTATTAATGACGTGAAAGGTATTGAGTGTGTTAAATACATACTTTGTTCGACCGGAATTAGTTGATGTTGTTCAAACGGATGTATCTAGCATCGAAATACGTCTAGATACATCTGTTTGAACATTAATTAATTCTGGACGGAGGCAGTACTGTTTAATAACAGTTAACATAGTCCTTTATAGGTTTTAAAACCACCCATTTTGCCGCTTAATGGCTAATACAACCCATACTTGCTCACAATTTCCATTGGAAATCCGAGCATATACACCTTGTTCCTAAATTCCATTTACTAAATTATTGACAAACTCATAGGCTCAAAATGCAAAAACAAACTGGACTTTTTTTTTGTTGCAGCTATAAACCAGCCCAGGTGAAATCAGAACTGGCTAGGTTCCAGTTTAACTCCTGCAACTGGTTCCTGCATCTGCTAGTAATACATATATTTTGTGCCTTCTTGTCCTGTTTGGCCCACTAGGTTAAAACCTAATTAGATCTCAATAATCGCCATCTTGCTATCAAGTATTATCCAACTAGTTCTAGTGATCAGTATAAACGAGCTTTTATATTTTCTTGGCACAACTTTTTTGTGACAGCTGGCCGTATATGTTATGTTTGTGAACCATTAGATATTTTATTGTTCAATGAGGACATGGTATTCCGTATCACCTCCGCAGCTTCATCCCTTGTATGATCTGTTTTGCAGAGATGTACTGGAACTCAAGGAGGCAATAAGAATTAAAGAAGCGGAAGGAGATGCTTATATCTCTGAAATTGAGGTTAGCTCATTTTTAGTTTTCTTATCAGCAGTTTTTGTTTGTTTGTGTGTGCGAGTGTGTTTGAAAGCAAATGATGCTGTCACTGCAGATAATTGGTCAAGCATATGAAGACATGCAGACACAAAACCAGCATCTTCTTCAATAGGTTGCCGACAGAGATGATTTTAACATAAAGGTGCGTATCTGATACCAAGGGCAGCTCTTCGCTGCCAGCTTGCTGGGCTTTCTGTGGTGGAATCCGTGCTTCTGTCTCACGGGCGTTTCCCCTTTGCTGTCGGCATGGCACCCCCCTCAATATAGCAACACGCCACTAGGATCCTGTTACATGCTCCATGTGCACAAGCATGGTGACAGCTGCGGCTCTTGGGCTAGGTGGCCTGGTGTATTTCTCTTTTCCCTTTTCCATCTCTATCTATTAGATAGTTACTCCAGTTACTGCTACTTGTTGATTCATATAGCGTGTCCTTGCAGCACGTATCTAGCACCTAGATACTGGGGCAGTAGTCCAGTGCATCACCTTGCCTTATCACCTTATTAACCATGCACTTTAACCCCACATCATTTATACTCTGTTGAATTGCCAGAAGAAACACTGTTTGCTTTTCTTGTTGGTTCCCATCAGTAACTTGTTTCTCATCTAACAGCTAGTATCAGATAGTGTGAAGACAAAGCAAGCCTCTGCTTCCCTTCTCTCTGAAAAGCATTTGTTACAGAAGCAACTCCATCAGGTTAACAGCTCACTGGAGTCATCTAAACAAAAACTCTCCCGTGGTGAAGAGCAGGTAATCTCTGACTCATGCCCTATGTGTTATTTACGGTTCAATTTGCTGTCTGCCAACAGTAATTGAAAATCACGTCGAAGTGAATATTTATTGTATTAAAAAATATATTCTGTGTGTGTGTGTGTGTGTGTGTGTGTGTGTGTGTGTTTACCACTGAGCTGGTTTTGAAGTGTCTTTATTTGAATAAACCTTACAGATGAAAGCCTATGTCGCACAAGCTATAAAAACTTCTTCAGAGAACAGGCATCATGCAATTACCATTGAAAAGACTCTGCTGGAGGTATCTGACGCAGAGAAGGAGCTCAAGTGGCTTCGGTCCGCCGTTGGATCCTCTGAGAAAGAATATGAGCAAAACCAGAAAAAAATAGCTGAGCTCAGAACGGAGCTGGAACGTGAGAGGTTAGGCTTGCTGGTGTGGTGTTAATTTTTGGTTCCAAGTTTGTCTTGCTGTTCTGCCACCAGGGCTTGTTACATTCTTTTGCTATTTTATAGAAGCGAGAAGAGAAAGCTTGAGGAAGCATACGAGGAGGTTAAGAATGAAGTCATGGAGCTGACATCTGAGAACGAAGAAGCTACTATCCAGAAGCTCCAGGACGAGATAAAAGACTCCAAGGCTATTCTCAAGTGTGGCGTGTGCTTTGACCGGCCGAAAGAGGTAACTCACTGTTAACTGAATCGCACAGCCTTATTTTTGAATTATGCGGATTTGTACGTGACTCAAGATTTTAGAAGCTGAGATACATTTATTTCCATTCCCATTTCACCAGATTTACATTTTATCTGTGTAAAGCTCCTAAATTTGTGACCACCTACAGCTGATGTTCCTTGTTTGGTCGTTGGCAGGTTGTGATCACCAAATGCTTCCACCTGTTCTGCTCGACCTGTATCCAGAGGAACCTCGAGCTACGCCACCGGAAGTGCCCAGGCTGCGGCACCCCTTTCGGGCAAAACGACGTGCGAGAGGTGAAGATCTGAAGTCTCAGCGAGGCTGGCTTGGATGACCTGGTACCCTTGGACAGCAGACAGCACCAACCTGCTCTCCGTGCTTGTCTCTTGTAGATATGTAATAGTTTCCGGTTTTCTCATGGGGGCGCTTAGATCCAGCAAAGAAGTAAAAATATAACCCTTTAAGAAAGCGCGCGAACGTGCTCCAGCGGATTGTATGTGCGCAATGGCCTCCCAACTGTTGATCCACCGTGAAAAACCAGCTGTGTGCCATGCAGATGTCGGAAAATACTGAAGTCAAAAAAGTTTGTTGTAACTTCATTGCCTGTGTGATTTTTGTTTGTCTGATGTTCTTTTCCCAGCGAGTCCGAGTGTGCCAGATTCGCCACTCTTGACTCGCCTCTACTTGAGGCCATTGCAATGATGGTTTGACGTGAGTTAATTAGGAGAAATAAATAAGAAATGAATAGAAGGTGAAGTTTGTTTCTGCCTTCAAAAAGGTTCGTCTGGTAGGACATGATGAACATGGATAATAAGCAACAGTTGTTTCTGCAAAGCTGCTCTTGCTGGAGTTGAGAGGCTCATGTCCTGCTGCAGAATAAATATACGTATATGAAGATGAGCCAGTTTGACGGGCAAGTCATTCATAACTATTTGGCCAGCTAATACAGTCAAATTAAGCATAATCAAACTAGCAACCTTATCCTTATTTAGACACCACTGACGATCGAGTGTCACATGTATTACCCTGAGTAGTGATCAGAGTACAAAACTACGCATGTAGTTCCTTTCAGGAGGCTTTCATCACAATTTGTATTAAGCTTTGGAAAACTATAAGCAGGAGGCAACCAACCACCTCTATCCAGATGTTGCTTCGTGTTGTTGGCTCCTTCCAGTATTTGTTTTACTTTCATGTCTTTCTCTTCAGTTTATATCTGGAATATCCATTTCTGAGCCCGGGCTCATCTGCACCTGGTGAACAGTAAATCCAAAAGAAGAAAAGAACTGATTTTTTTCCTGGAAGATGTTTCAGTGCGTGAAGTCCATGTCAATTTCCAATGCGTTCGGACATGTAAGTAGCTCCAAAAAACAGTCCGAAAAGTATATGAACAGTAAATTATTTGACGGACCCCAAATTTGTCTTATTTGCTGAGAGTTACTAAGATATCCAAACGTGCTGAAAATTGGCACGAATCTCATGCACTGAAACATCTTCCATGAAAATTCAGTTTTCTGTACCATGCATTATCTCCATCCGTGAGTTTTTTCCCTGTTTGATAAATGTAGATACTGGCAAATTTTGTTTGTTTCTGCGTGGTTACAGTTTACATTGTCTGTGGAATATACAAGTTTAACACCCAGATTATTATGTTACCATATTTCTATGTTCTGGAAGGCAAAAAGTATCTTGATCCCAAACTGTGTTATCTGCTCTCTGTTGCTATGTTTCAGTTTTTCTACTTGAGATGACTGACTGATTGCACACGGCCAATTTATGAGTAACCATGAAGAAAACTAGCATGTCCATGTAAGGAGGACGCCAGCCAGCTTTTGATCTGACCGTGAGCAACTTGCTCAATCGTTCGTCTTGAGTTAATTAACAACAGGATCATCAGCGCTGGAGTTGGCCATCTGTTTGATAAGAGTAAACGGTGACCCTGATTAATCATTGGGTCCACATTCAGTCAACAGGTGAGCACACACGCAAATATCCACTGATGAGCACATCTAGCTCCAGCAGATGACATTAGAGATGTGATCTCAAAGTTTTCATAGTTGACTTTGAGATATATATCCTCGTGTGATGTATCAGATGGTAAAATCCAAACCAGGTTCGTGCCAGCACCACCGATATGATCATCTTGTCGAAGCAAAGCTCAGCGTAATCCTATACCACCATTGATGCCTGTACTAATTGAGTAAATCAACCTGTTGTACCCTTGATTTGCATGATTTACTACTTTATCATCATGTGCAGGTGCATGCTTACTCGAGTGGATGATCGATCAAGAGGTGCATCCTTCCACGGGTGAAGTAAACGACATCCTAGTTAAATTAACTCCGGAGTGAAGTAAACGAACGCCTAGCTAGACTAACCCTTACCATGATGAAGGTATGATTACTGAAGAAATGATATGCTGGAATGAGAGTACGTATTCATTATTTAGGTACTCAAATGTGTCCTGACTACACACAGAATAATGCTAGTGTACTTCTTTTTGTGTATCTTTCTCGTTATGTGATTTGTGTAAGCATTAAGTTTACGTCTTGATATTAAAACTTCATATATACATTCGATGCATTGCTCTAGACATTTAAACAAATGGTGGTAGTGCGTGCATATCTAGGAGTATGCAGTACTCTAGACATTTAAACAAGTATCCACTGATCGATTGAGAGAACGTCCCTTTAGAAGTTGACATTTGCAGGAGCGGACGACCTCGAAGTTCTCGTGATTGATTTTCATGTTTATGCATGGCATGTTGGATGTGCTTATCCATGTAGACGTGCTTATCCATGTCGACGTGCTTAAGGATCCCAGGGATGCATGTGAGAATCAGGATAATACGGTTGGACGCACGGTGACCGGCGAGCAATGCAACAATGTGACTAATTAATTAAAGCATCTGGTTTATGATAGTAGTAATACACTAGACTTTGATTAACATTTCTGGGCAAAGAAGCCATGTGTTTTTGTAGCACTGCAGGCACTTGCTTTACCGGCATACTTATTTTTTTTTGCTAATTTACAGTTAATTGCAGCAACGTCTCGGTACCGACGTAGGAGAGCAACGCATACTTTGGAATAATTAGACAACCACAATTAAAAGACTTGTCTACTTAAAAAATTGAAGTCCAAAGTTCTAAAACTAACTCTCCAGTCTAACAAGTGGATATCATGCAAAAATGACAATGTAATAAAAATAAAATTTGTTTGCACAAATTTTTAAAAAATCCTCTGATTATTATATTACAGTACTTCTAAGATCTGAAACTGGCGAAAAGTATCTTGATCTCAAACTGTATTATCTGTTTTTGTTGCAGGGTGTCTTCTACCTGAGATGAATGACTGATTGCACACGGCCAATGTATGAAGAAAATTAACATGTGCATGTAAGAAGGATACCAGCCAGCTTTTAATTTGACCCTGAACATCAATCAATCGCCTTAAGTTAATGGTAACTACAAGTTTTCACAGTAAAATGTTCATGCATGCTTCAGTTTAATTCCTGGTCTCGCTCCATGCGCTTGCCGGCATCCGCAACGAGCGGACTATGCTCTTGCCGGTGATGATTCACGGTGAGCGCCTGGTGGCCCTCCTGGATACAGGCTCCATGCATAACTCCCTGCCCGAGGCTACCATGCGGTGCTTAGCGCTTCAGCCGACGGGCAGGGAGCAACTTCGGGTCACGGTGGCTAACGGCGACCGCCTCCGGTCCCATGGGCTGGTGCAGAACGTGCCCATCATCATCGGCGACGAGCACTTCACTATCACGTGCACTGGCATTGACTTGGGCTGCTTCGACTTCATCCTCGGCGTCGACTTCTTGCGGACCCTCGGTCCCATCCTCTGGGACTTCGACGCTGTGACGATGAACTTCTGGCGCCTAGGTCGCCGTGTCCGGTGGGAGGGCGTGGTTGGCGCCTCACCAGTGACGCCGCAGTTGCAGCTGGCCGCGACCGCTGCCGAACCCGAGCACCCACTGTTGGATCACCTCCTGCAGTAGCACCGCGACCTCTTCGACGAGCCTCAAGGCCTTCCGCCAGCTTGGGTGTATGATCACTGCATTCATCTCCTGCCGGGCACGACGCCGATTGCAGTGTGCCCCTACCGCTATCCCCAGTTGCAGAAGGACAAGCTAGAGCAGCAGTGTGTGATCATGCTCGCCTTGGGCATCATCCGGATCTCCACGTCGCCGTTTTTGGCGCCGTTCCTCCTCGTCCGCAAGTCGGATGGCACGTGGCGCTTCTGCATCGACTACCGCGCCCTTAATGCCCTGACACTCAAGGACAAGCTTCCTATCCCGGTGGTCGACGAGCTTCTGGACGAGCTACATAGGGCGCGCTTCTTCACCAAGCTCGACCTCCGATCAGGCTACCACTAGGTGCGGATGCACCCGGACGATGTTGCCAAGACGACGTTTCAGACTCATCACGGCCACTTCGAGTTCTTGATGATGCCTCTTGGCCTCTCCAACACCTCGGCGGCCTTCCAGGCTTTGATGAACGACATCCTCCGCCCCTACTTGCGTCGGTTTGTGCTCGTTTTCTTTGATGACATTCTTATCTACAGCGCCTCGTGGGCGGAGCACCTTCAGCACGTCGCCATCGTCTTCAACGAGCTTCGAGCACACCATCTTCATCTTAAGCGCTTGAAGTGCTCGTTCGGGACACCTTCAGCTCGGCCACGTCATCTCGCTCGAGGGGGTTGCTATGGACGCCGACAAGGTGGCGACCATCGCGGCCTGGCTGACACTGCACTCACTGCGAGCTCTTCGTGGCTTGCTGGGCCTCGCGGGGTATTACCGGAAATTTATTCGGGAGTTCGGCCTCACCGCGTCCCCGCTCACGCACTTGCTGCGTCGCGACGCCTTTGCCTGGGATGCGGAGGCGACATCGACATTCAAGGCTCTCACAGGGGCCCTCACAACGGGTCCAGTTCTTCAGATGCCTGACTTTCACTGCTCGTTCGTCATGGACTGCGACGCCTCCGGTGTGGGCTTTGGTGCCGTCCTTCATCAGGGCAATGGACCACACGCGTTCTTCAGCAGGCCCTTTGTCGCGCGCCATCTTAAGCTCGCGGCCTATGAGAGGGAGCTCATTGGCTTGGTGCAGGTCGTGCGCCATTGGCGGCCCTATCTTTGGGGCCGGTCGTTCCGGATTCGCACGGATCACTACAGCCTCAAGTTCTTAATTATTGGACCAGAGGCTGTCTACCGTGCCGCAGCACCAGTGGATCAACAAGCTCTTTGGCTTCGACTTCACCATCGAGTATCGTCCGGGCCGCCTTAACACCATGGACGACGCCT